ACAAAGCCTACCATCAGTAACACACTACGCCGCCAGGGACTCAAATCCTGCAGTGCCAGACGTGTCCCCCTGCTTAAGCCAGTACATGTCCAGGCCCGTCTGAAGTTTGCTAGAGTGCATTTGGATGATCCAGAAGAGGATTGGGAGAATGTCATATGGTCAGATGAAACTGAAATATAACTTTTTGGTAAAAACTCAACTCGTCGTGTTTGGAGGACAAAGAATGCTGAGTTGCATCCAAAGAACACCATACCTACTGTGAAGTATGGGGGTGGAAACATCATGCTTTGGGGCTGTTTTTCTGCAAAGGGACCAGGACGACTGATCCGTGTAAAGGAAAGAATGAATGGGGCCATGTATCGTGAGATTTTGAGTGAAAACCTCCTTCCATCAGCAAGGGCATTGAAGATGAAACGTGGCTGGGTCTTTCAGCATGACAATGATCCCAAACACACCGCCCGGGCAACGAAGGAGTGGCTTCGTAAGAAGCATTTCAAGGTCCTGGAGTGGCCTAGCCAGTCTCCAGATCTCAACCCCATAGAAAATCTTTGGATGGAGTTGAAAGTCTGTGTTGCCCAGCGACAGCCCCAAAACATCACTGCTCTAGAGGAGATCTGCATGGAGGAATGGGCCAAAATACCAGCAACAGTGTGTGAAAACCTTGTGAAGACTTACAGAAAACGTTTGACCTGTGTCATTGCCAACAAACTGTATATAACAAAGTATTGAGAAACTTTTGTTATTGACCAAATACTTATTTTCTACCATAATTTGCAAATAAATTCATTAAAAATCCTACAATGTGATTAACTGGGGTTTTTTTCTTCTCATTTTGTCTGTCATAGTTGACGTGTACCTATGATGAAAATTACAGGCCTCTCTCATCTTTTTAAGTGGGAGAACTTGCACAATTGGTGGCTGACTAAATACTTTTTTTCCCCACTGTAGGTAATTAGATGATGTTGACATTTTGAAGTTGAAATGGTGCTGAAATAGTGGAGGCGGCGCCTGTTTTCTTTGAGACTTGTGGTAACTCTCCGTGGTTCTAAATAGTTGTTTAGTGGTCCGGAAATGTCGGAAACATTAACTTGCTTGACCATGCTGTAGGTGATGTAACTGTTTGTTACATGCAATATGTTTTGTGGACTTCACCGGACAGATGTTGCTCTCCGGTTTTCTGATGAAACGAAATTGTGGTTGAATTTATTCTGCCACTTTGTCTTCTTATTGTCTCGGCCTTAGGCCTATATATCACGGTCGCAAGAGGCATGTGAACTACCAGGTTATAGAGCAAACAACGCAATTATCACAACACAGGTTGTAATATGGCATTTTTTTCTGGCTTGGCTTCCCAAGTGATTTTACCTATGCACCGCTACTGGTCCTTGGCCTTTCTGTAGCCTACGATGTTTTCAAATATTTGATTTTGTGCTGGCATTGGACGTGGGAAAGTGAGAACACTTTCTCTCATACGGGATGATATCTCTTCATAAATATCTTTATTTCGATAAGGCCATTTTATTCAGAGCTGTACATAGTATTTGGTTGTGGCATACCGCATACGATCCATTGGTTTCAAATGAAGACCATGATCTTAATTCAACTGGCCAGTGAGATTTTTTTCAGGGCGAGACAACAGTGACGTTGGCCAAATTTATACGCTTTTGTTGTCCGGATTCGTTTACCTTTCAAGGACATCCATACGATATGCGTCTTCGAGTACCTCCGGAGGCGGTCAGGAAGATCTAATCACAATGAGATCACAATGCATCTTTTGATTGTGTACTCGACAAATGTGGGCACAATCAGAATGTGGATAAGATCAGTACAACAGACACGTGTTAGTACCAGGTATAAAAGAGGCTACTGTGTCAGTTTGGCCATCAGCTAGATCGGTCATGGAGAAAGTGACTCAGTATGGTGACTCAGTCTGGTGACTCAGTCTGGTGCTGCCGGGTAGGGGTAATTTCTAACCCGCTATCTAGGCTTTTATGAGGTGAGGACCTGATCACAGTCAGTCCCCCATGGCCTTGTAGTCAGCCCCATCCTCTAAGGCAGTGTTTCCCAACTTTGGTCCTCGAGTACCTCCAACAGTTCATATTTTTGTTGTGGCTCCGGACAAGCACACCTGATTCTACTTGTCAACTAATCATCAAGTTTAATCAGGTGTTTTTGTCTGGGGTTACAACAACAATGTGTGCTTTTGGGGGTACTTGAGGACCACAACAAATCATACAGTCCATTTGATTCATAGTGAACATGATATCCACTAGTAATGAGGGGAATAGGCCATGCGATTCCGTATTGAAATATGAGAGGAGATGCTAAAAAGTTGAAGAAAAGCTCTACGCATCTATTTCCTCCCAGGGTTCCATCTTAGATAATAACAGAGCGTCACTGTCAGTCAAGCTGCCAATGATGACCTTATCTGCCATAAATGGCTGGTAGCTCATCATTCTCTCTCTGTGGTAGCTTGGAACATTTATTCCCAAAAGTTCTGAGTGATACACAAAATATAATATGGAAACATCACACCATACATCACAATAAAAGTAGAGCATTATATTTTTATAAAATATAGAGCTTTAATTTATTAGTCAGCAACAACAATGGAAAGGGAAGAGAAAGTAATTTACACAAGTCAGTACAATAACATCACCTCTGTACATTGAATCTTAACTGATAGCAAAAAGAACACAAAAACGAAATACAAAAACAAAACAAAAAACACTCCGAAACTAAAGACACCGTAAAAATACCAAGAAATTGTACAATCATTTTTTTGCTGTAACACCCTGTTTTCAACTGGAGGAGAGTAACAGGGGCTGTCTGGTTTTATTCTGGGAATGAATAGTATCCCATAGTGAAGAGTGGAAAAGAGCATGCCAGTATCTGTAGGTACATTACTTATAGTAGTTCTCCTCCATTCTGCTTTTCTCTGCTGCACTGAGGCTGTCCCTCATTCCTTCGCTGACGTTTGACCATACTGTACACTTGAAGAACAGAAAAACTACAACATAGTTTTTTTTGTTTCATAATTACAGTACAAATACATATTCATGCACACAATGAAAAGCCAGCTTCCCAAATATGTTGGTTATTGTCACAACGTTGTTACAATGCTTTGTTGTGTAAGGAGGACATTTTTTATTTTTTTCACATATAAAGTTTAAGGATCCAAATGCACCGATAAATGAAAAGAGATGGCTCTTAGTCTGAACCAACATGGCAGCTTAGTGAAAGTGATCTGGGCATTGCCATAGATTATCCATTATATTGATCAGATACTCCATTGACCTCTCTAACAATGAAAATAAATGCCTTCAAAAATGGAAGGCAGTTGGTAAGAGGGAATATCAGGTGGGACCATTCTAGCCAATGAGAGGGCAGATATGAGTGTGATAACAGGCACAACTCCGATACAAAGTGTTCTTTCTCAAAGTTGACGGGATGTGACGTGTCCTACTTATATCAGTACATTCGTAACAACCTAAGCATTACGAAACTTCTGTTCGATCAAATAAGCCACAAGTAGCAGATAAGCCATTACATTTTTTGTTAACCAAATTTGGCACTCTCGTTGATCTCCATACAAAAACTATTTGCTTGGTGAGCGGAAAAAAAAAGAAGAATAAACGGCACCTGCTGGTGAAGACAGATTTTGGGCCCAGTTATCCCTCTCACTTCGCCTCTTCCTCTCTGGCATCGCTTAATCTCAAACTGAATTGTGCTTTGTTTTTGTTGACCAAAAGGAAATGTATTTGGCCAAAGTGTGCTAGGTTTGGCCCTGGCCAATGTTTTGAATATCTTCTACCTTCCATAAGATCCAACGTAATCATTTGAAGATAAGAGAATACTGCCCTTTGTGCACAACCTTGACCCTTTACTGTACCTCACACTCAGTCCCATTAGATGTTTAGATTGCAAAATAAACCAAACAAAGCTTGTAGATGTCCTTAAAAGATTTATTTGATAAGTATCTACAGTTTTTTTTTTCTGATTATGTTTACTTTCCGATTCTCACAATGTAATTTACCATAATTTAGCTGCTGAAAGGTAAGGTTTTAATCCTTTTTTCATTATTTTGTTAAACAATCTATTCAATTGACCTGGCTATTCAATAATAACCGTAGTTTCAAATACCCCCCCCCCCCCCCCCCCCCCCCCCGGACTCTGGTAATCTAGAGATGATTTCATGCATAGGCTACATAGCAACACTGCATTTATAACAATTGGTTTGCCTGAGTTATTGGCACACACTGTACAGTGAGGAATAACCAATGAAGCCGAAAATAAATAGCATCAACCTATTAGGGGAGCCAATTATGCCTAGCAACAGTACTCAACATAGTCATTTAGACAACAGGTTCACAGGGAGAATAGACAACTAGCCAATGAGTGGGGCCATTTGTGCATCCTCTGCCATTGAAGTCAGGAGTCTTAGTCCTTATGCACTGATTGTGAGGTTACCGTATGTTCAAACAATTCCTGGTTAGCCGAGAATATGAGTATTGACATTCAGTCAAAGCAAACAAGAAACCATTATATCCCCATCCACCCCGACCCTCAGTTAATGTATCTGTTTACACAATGACCCCTTTCAGTTCACTACCAACAGAGTTTACATGACAGTTTACATTCCAAACAGAGCTGTCAAGGTGGAAAGATTTTTGTAATGACAGTAACAACAATAATACAATTAATAACAGTAATAACAATAACATTTACCCAAAAGGTACCTATACACAAAGAGCATTTTTCTATAAGTACAAAGAAATCCACAGAATGATACTATATACAACCTACAATAAATACTGTGTATCATATACTTTATTGTTAAAAGGGATGTGGGGTGTGTTTGTTTGTATGACTTGTTTTTTTCCACTTCCGTTTATTTTATTTGTGGTTTTTGATTTTCTTTCACCTCGTCACTCTCTTAAATTGAGTCTTTCCCAGTTTCTCTGGGGTGCGGTTGAAGTTTGGGAGAGTTGAGGGACCCCTCATGTCTCCACCTCCTCCTCCTCCTCCTCCTCCTCTCCCTCGCCGTGATGTCGGCGGTTGCGTGGTTTCTTCTGCTCCTTGAGCTCTTTCATGTCTTTGGCATTGATGGCTCCCATCATGGGGTCACCCAGCTGCCAGTAGTCCTGACAGTACTGGTTGATCAGGCCCATCTCCGGCTGGCTCAGGATGGTCAGAAGGTCCTTGTACTGACCCGCGCTGGGAGTCCAGGCGCTGGACTGGAGAGCAGATGGTCCCAGTTCCCCACCCTCCACCAGGACGTTGTTAACGGCTCGGCTGGACAGGACCACCAGCTGCAGCTTGACCAGCGTGTGTTTGAAGTTCTTCTCTGTGGCTGTGCACTGGTACACCCCGGAGTCTGAGGGCTGGAGGGAACGCAGCAGCAGACCCTGCTCTGTCTTCAGTACTCGCCCATCAGAGCGCATCTGAGAGAGAGAGAGAGAGAGAGAGAGAGAGAGAGAGAGAGAGAGAGAGAGAGAGAGAGAGAGAGAGAGAGAGAGAGAGAGAGAGAGATTTATGACTTGAAGCTACAATGATGAAATAAGGCATGATGTAAAGCCAGGGTAGTAACATCAGCGGAGAGGCCAAGCTGACAGCTAATCTCCTGTTCTTATTGGCAGCACAGCATCACCAACCACCAACTATATCAATATATCAGTGTTATGACTACCTGTACATTCTTGCACTAACACCATCCACACTGATCTGCAGTTAAATAAGACAGTCAATTCCACTAATAAAAGTGCTCTAGTGATGTTTTCCATTGTCTCTCGATGTATTCCTGAATCATATCCAAGAGTTTGATTAGCTGCTGACAGCTTTTATACCCAGAATCAGATGTGCTGAGCAACAGCCCCGCCAATTGAGCCATGCCAATGGGGAAAGGCAGCATCCAACTGAAAAGCCAATAAAACAGAAGTTACACTATAGCGTCACAATAAAACTTTAACAACAGCCTCAGGGGGAGAAACTATGAGCAGGTCTTATGTTGGATGGGCCCTCCTTTTGGGTACTGGGACAGTTTGGGCTTTATCCCTTCAGGTTGAAAACCAACCACCTGGTTATCATATATGTATGAATGTTATCTCTTTATTACAGTAACACATCAATAGACTGACAACTTCAGCTTTCAGATGAAACATACAGCAGCCTGAGGAAGAATCTTCACCATCATTATGTAACAGAATGAGAAGTGCTGTCGACAGAGGGGAACATCATGTCTTTCTAGGGAGATTTACTCCTAAACTAATTCCACTTTATCTGAAAAAGATCCCATCCCCTGTCAGGAAGGTGATGTATGGTTTGAGTTACCTTAGGTCATGGTATACCAAAGACCCATAAACACTACCAGTCATAAGTTTGGACACACCTACTCATTCAGGGGTTTTTCTTAATTTTTACATTGTAGAATAATAGTGGAGACATAAAAACTATGAAATAACACATATGGAATCATGTAGTAAACAAAAAAGCGTTAAACAAATCAAAATATATGTTATATTTGAGATTCTTCAAATAGCCACCCTTTGCCTTGATGATAGCTTTGCACACTCTTGGCATTCTCTCAACCAGCTTCATGAGGTAGTCACCTGAAATGCATTTCAATTAACAGGTGTGCCTTCTTAAAAGTTAATTTGTGGAATTTATTTCATTCTTAATGCGTTTGAGCCAATCAGTTGTGTTGTGACAAGGTGGGGGGAGTCGCAAAAAACATCAAACGCTATGATAAAACTGGTTCTCATGGAGACCACCATAGGAATGGAAGACCCAGAGTTACCTCTGCTGCAGAGGATACGTTGATTAGAGTTATGAGCCTCAGAAATTGCAGCTCAAATAAATGCTTCACAGAGTTCAAGTCACAGACACATCTCTACATGAACTGTTCAGAGGGGACTGTGTGAATCAGGCCTTCATGGTTGAATTGCTGCAAAGAAACCACTACTAAAGGTCACCAATAAGAGGAAGAGACCTGCTTGGGCCAAGAAACACAAGCAATGGACATTAGACTGGTGGAAATGTGTCCTTTGGTCTGGAGTCAAAATTTAAGATTTTTGGTTCCAACCGCTGTGTCTTTGTGAGATGCGGTGTGGGTGAACGGATGATCTCTGCATGTGTATTTCCCACCGTAAAGAATGGAGGAGGAGGTGTTATGGTGTGGGGGTGCTTTGCTGGTGACACTGTCTGTGATTTATTTTGAATTCAAGGCACACTTAGCCAGCATGGCTACCACAGCATTCTGCAGCGATACGCCATCCCATCTGGTTTGGGCTTAGTGGGACTATCATTTGTTTTTCAACAGGACAATGACCCAACACACCTCCAGGCTATGTAAGGGCTATTTGACCAAGAAGGAGAGTGATGGAGTGCTGCATTAGATGACCTGGACTCCACAATCCCCCGACCTCAACCAAATTAAGATGGTTTGGGATGAGTTGGACGGCAGAGTGAAGGAAAGCAGCCAACAAGTGCTAAGCATATGTGGGAACTCCTTCAAGACTTTTGGAAAAGCATTCCAGGTGAAGCTGGTTGAGAGAATGCCAAGAGTGTGCAAAGCTGTCATCAAGGCAAAGGGTAGCTATTTGAAGATTCTCAAATTTAAATATATTTTGATTTGTTTAACACTTTTTTGGTTACTACATGATTCCATATGTGTTATTTCATAGTTTTGATGTCTTCACTATTATTCTACCATGTAGAAAATAGTAATAATAAAGAAAAACCCTTGAATGAATAGGTGTGTCCAGACTTTTGACGGGTACTGTATATAATATGTCTGGGCTCAGTGGGCAGAGTATAGATCTCAACAGTGTTTTGGGAAGTATACTAGTTTGAGTGATATTGTGTGTGTAATAGATGGCCGTTCACCTCTTTCCGGCGGTCACTGTTGTCCCTCTGTAGGTGCCACTTGATGGCGGCGTGGGGAGAACGGGCCTGGCACTCCAGGAAGGTGCTGCTGCCCTCCACCCCATACTGCACCATCTCCAGGGTGTTCTTATTAGCTGAGAAAGACACCATGGCAACCATAGATTCAGTATCATGTCCCACAAAGACCAAAAATCCAAAAGAGCAATGTTATATTTCATATCTATTTGATGAAAATGTTGGGGTGTGATGGCATAAATAAAGTCAATGAATGAATGAGATGTATTCACAGCCACTGAAAATCTCTACCCCATCCACCAACTGGCACACACTGGTCTTACCATTGGAATTGAAGCCCCTGCACTGCCGGATGGGGTTCCCGTACTTGACGTCCTGCCTCCGGCTGCGTCTAAAGGGGTCAGACCAGTATTCCCGAATAAGAGAAGAGAATATATTACCAAGCAAATGCAAAGCCATTCAACATTCCATAGAGTCAGTCAACAATCTGCCATAAAACATTGTATACAGTAGCCATTCAACAACCTATAGCATAGAGCCATTCAACCATCCAACAATCCATATACAGGAAGCCATTCAACAATCTATAGAGCCAGCTAACAATCCATATACATCAACCATCCAATCTATAGAAACAATTCAACAATCCATATAACCATTCAACATTCTATAGAGCCATTCAACATTCTATAGAGCCATTCAACAATCTCTAGAGCCATTCAACAATCAAATCTAATCAAATCAAATTTTATTTGTCACATTCGCCGAATACAGTGAAATGATTACTTACAAGACCTTAACCAACAATGCAGTTTTAAAAAGAATACCAAAAAAATTAAATAATAATAATAATTATTATTATTATAAGAAATAAAGTAACAAAAAATTAAAGCACAGCAGTAAAATAACAATAGCGAGGCTATATACAGGGGGTACCGATACCGAGTCAATGTGCAGGGGGCACCGGTTAGTCGAGGTAATTGAGGTAATATGTACATGTAGGTAGAGTTATTAAAGTGACTATGCATTGATAATAAACAGAGAGTAGCAGCAGTGTAAAGGGGGGGGGGCAATGCAAATAGTCTGGGTACTGGATTAGATGTTGAGAAGTCTGGATTAGATGTTCAGGAGTTTTATGGCTTGGGGGTAGAAGCTGTTTAGAAGCATCTTGGACCTAGACTTGTCGCTCCGGTACCGCTTGCCATGCGGTAGCAGAGAGAACAGTCTATGACTAGGGTGGCTGGAGTCTTTGACAATTTTTAGGGCCTTCCTCTGACACCGCCTGGTATAGAGGTCCTGGATGGCAGGAAGCTTGGCCCCAGTGATGTACTGGGCTGTACGCACTACCCTCAGTAGTGCCTTGCAGTCGGAGGCCGAGCAGTTTCCATACCAGGCGGTGATGCAACCAGTCAGGATGCTCTCGATGGTGTAGCTGTAGAACCTTTTGAGGATCTGAGGACCCATGCCAAAATAGGTTTTGTCGTGCCCTCTTCACGACTGTCTTGGTGTGCTTGGACCATGTTAGTTTGTTGGTGATGTGGACACCAAGGAACTTGAAGCTCTCAACCTGCTCCACTACAGCCCCGTCGTTGATAATGGGGCATGCTCGGTCCTCTTCTTTTTCCTGTAGTCCACAATCATCTCCTTTGTCTTGATCACGCTGAGGGAAAGGTTGTTGTCCTGGCACCACATGGCCAGGTCTCTGACCTCCTCCCTATAGGCTGTCTCGTCGCTGTCGGTGGTCAGACCTACCAATGTTGTGTCATCGGCAAACTTAATGATGGTGTTGGAGTCATGCCTGGCCATGCAGTCATGAGTGATCAAGGAGTACAGGAGGGGACTGAGCACGCACCCCTGAGGGGACCCTGTGTTGAGGATCAGCGTGGCGGATCTGTTGTTACCTACCCTTACCACCTGGGAGCGGCCCGTCAGGAAGTCCAGGATCCAGTTGCAGAGGGTGGTGTTTAGTCCCAGGGTCCTTAGCTTAGTGATGAACTTTGAGGGCACTATGGTGTTGAACGCTGAGCTGTAGTCAATTAATAGCATTCTCACATAGGTGTTCCTTTTGTCCAGGTGTGAAAGGGCAGTGTGGAGCTCAATAGAGATTGCATCATCTGTGGATCTGTTGGGGCGGTATGCAAATTGGAGTGGGTCTAGGGTTTGTGGGATAATGGTGTTGATGTGAGCCATGACCAGCCTTTCAAAGCCCTTCATGGCTACAGACGTGAGTGCTACTGGTCGGTAGTCATTTAGGCAGGTTACCTTAGCGTTCTTGGGCACAGGGACTATGGTGGTCCGCTTGAAACATGTTGGTATTTCAGACTCCGACAGGAAAGGTTGAAAATGTCAGTGAAGACACTTGCCAGTTGGTCAGCGCATGCTCGGAGTACACGTCCTGGTAATCCGTCTGGCCCTGCGACATTGTGAATGTTGACCTGTTAAAAGGTCTTACTCACATCGGCTACGGAGAGTGTGATCACACAGTCGTCCTGAACAGCTGATGCTCTCATGCATGTTTCAGCGTTGCTTGCCTCGAAGCGAGCATAGAAGTAATTTAGCTCATCTGGTAGGCTCGTTCACTGGGCAGCTCGCGGCTGTGCTTCCCTTTGTAGTCTGTAATAGTTTGCAAGCCCTGCCACATCCGACGAGCATCGGAGCCAGTGTAGTACGATTCGATCTTAGTCTTGTATTGATGCTTTGCCTGTTTGATGGTTCGTCGGATGGCTTAGCGGGTTTTCTTATAAGCTTCCGGGTTAGAGTCCTGCTCCTTGAAAGTGGCAGCTCTACCATTTAGCTCAGTGCGGACGTTGCCTGTAATCCATGGCATCTGGTTAAGGTATGTACGTACAGTCACTGTGGGGACGACGTCATCGATGCACTTATTGATGTAGTCAGTGACTGATGTGGTGTACTCCTCAATGCCATCGGAAGAATCCCGGAACATATTCCAGTCTTAGCTAGCAAAACAGTCCTGTAGCTTTGCATCTGCTTCATCTGACCACTCTGTTATTGACCGAGTCACTGGTGCTTTCTGCTTTAGTTTTTGCTTGTAAGCAGGAATCAGGAGGATAGAATTATGGTCAGATTTGCCAAATGGAGGATGAGGGAGAGCTTTGTACGCGTCTCTGTGTGTGGAGTAAAGGTGGTCTAGAGTTTTTTCCCCCTCTGGTTGCACATTTAACATGCTGGTAGAAATGAGGTAGAACGGATTTAAGTTTCCCTGCATTAAAGTCCCCGGCCACTAGGAGCGCCACCTCTGGATGAGCGTTTTCCTGTTTGCTTATGGCCGTATACAGTTCATTGAGTGCGGTCTTAGTGCCAGCATCGGTTTGTGGTGGTAAATAGACAGCTACGAAGAATATAGATGAAAACTCTCTTGGTAGATTGTGTGGTCTACAGCTTATCATTTACATTTTTACATTTTTTGTCATTTAGCAGACGCTCTTATCCAGAGCGACATACATTTTCATACTGGCCCCCCGTGGGAAACGAACCCACAACCCTGGCGTTGCAAGTGCCATGCTCTACCAACTGAGCTACAGGGGATACTCTACCTCAGGCGAGCAAAACCTTGAGACTTCCTTAGATATTGTGCACCAGCTGTTGTTTACAAATATACATAGACCGCCACCCCTTGTCTTACCAGAGGCTGCTGTTCTATCCTGCCGATACAGTGTATAACCCGCCAGCAGTATGTTATTCATGTCGTCATTCAGCCACAACTCTGTGAAACATAAGAGTTTGAATGTCCCGTTGGTAGGATATACGTGCTTGTAGTTCGTCCACTTTATTATCAAGCGATTGTATGTTGGCCAATAGTATTGATGGCAAAGGCAGATTAGCCATCCGTCGCCGTCTTCCTTACCAGGCACCCAGATCTCCTTCCGCGATATCTCTGTCTCTTTCTACTGCGAATGACGGAGAGGAGGGCCCTGTCGGGTGTCTGGAGCAAATCCCTCTCGTCCGACTCATTAAAGAAAAATTATTAGTCCAGTTCAAGGTGAGTAATCGCTGTTCTGATGTCCAGAAGCTCTTTTCGGTCATAAGAGACGGTAGCAGCAACATTATGTACAAAATAAGTTACAAACAATGCGAAAAAACAAACAAAATAGCACGGATGGTTAAGAGTCCATAAAACGACAGCCATCCCCTCCGGCGCCATTACAATCTATTGAGCCATTCAACAATCTATAGAGCCATTCAACAATCTATAGAGCCATTCAACAATCTGTAGAGCCATTCAACGATCTACAGTATAAAGCCATTTACAATCTATAGAGCTATTTTGAGCAGCTCATGCTGATGCTCACCTCTTCTGCGAGGCGGAGTAGCGGGAGCAGGACTTTCCGTCCCAGGCACAGTAGGGGTCCCGGGCCAGGCAGCAGTCAGCACACGCCTCCCCGTACACGTCACAGCGGTGTAGGGCCAGGTGGGTCACACCAAGCTCAGAAGACACGTAGAGCTGTTGCTGTGAGAGTAGAACGCAAAGGAGGATGTTAGATCACAGCTGGATAAAGTAGGGGAATATCCATCATATATCACATATCAAGTCTCTAACTTTTTTCAGTGCAGAGGGTTACAGTGGCTAGGAGTCGGTCAAAGCCATAACAATGTATTGTGATAATATAACTATTAAAACAAATGTGTAAAATTGTAACCCTTTCTAAGAATGATGTCATGTCCTGTATCCAAGGCCAACTATTTTAACCACAGTGAAAGACAACACTAACTTAATGCGTTTTCCATACTTCTCTTTTTATTGTTTCGACCAGACTGCAGGCATTCTATGAATTCTGAAGGGAAATATTAGTTCCACAGCTGTATACATGTAGCTCATGGCATTCTTAAATAATTTCCCTTAATTTAATTCACTCCCTCCTCTTTATCCTATGAAATATAAATATAGGTCTATTAGGTAAGCTTATACAGACATGCTTACCCTTTTGGACGAGATCTTCATTGTTGTAATTGGAGTTGGAACCTGGAATGTGGAGACAATGCATTGATGAGTCTTCTAAAGTATATTTATTGAAAATAGACATGGATAGAGAGAGAGAAAGAGAGAGAAAATGAGAGAGGATAGACAAACAGAAATAGAAGGAAGACAGTGAGTGCTCACCTTGAACACCTCAACCTCCTCCAGGACCAGTTCTTCAGTCTGCAGGTCGTCTTTGGGCAGAACAATCACCTTCTGAACCGTCCCCCTGTCTGTGGCCCAGGGAAACACCTGAGAGTTAATACTTCTACACACACCTGCTGCAACCTGACACTACCCTGCCTTGCTGCCTGTCAATCAAACAGCCCTCACTATAGCCCCCTCTCAGTCTGCTTATGTAAAGGTGAATCCTCACTCCTCATTCCATCAGGCTTTACACTTCAGTACTCTTCACCTCTTTCAGACAGATCTCGCTCAGTGTTCACCTTTGTCCTCCCCTATACGAACATCATCTCTTTCACTTGCTTAGTACTGCATGTCAGCTGTCATAACGTTCTCCTCTTCATCCCTGCGACCCATTCTCCAGGAGCCTGGAGGTAGGTATCTCCTCCAGACAGCCCAGCCGCGCCCTAACAGAATGTTTGATTTCTGCTCCAAGGCATTCCTGAGTACAGGATACCTGAGATTTATTATGTGTCCCAACGCAGCGTGCTCCTGACAGCGGCTCAAAGGAGAGACATTCCACTGACTCCGGGCACAGTGGAGCATGGTGCGCTCGTATAAAACCCCATTAGTCTCCAAGAGACGCAGAGCAGAACAAAGATGCACACAAAAGGGATAATGTGCTGCACGTATGGGAGAAAAACAGAGAAATGGTTACTGCTGCACTGTGCCGGTGGTGAGATTAGTGAGATGGATGTCCTTACTGTATCCCCCTCCACTCACCCATTCCCCCTACCCCGCAGTTAGACCACTCAAAAGCTTTTACTTCAAGTGAATGATGCAAAGAACAACCCTGCTTATTGGTTAAACATCCATCTTGACAAAAAGGGGCCAGAAGCTTTTCTGCTGGTGATAACTGATAGTGAGAAAGACACCAGATCCATCTGGCGGAAGTTTTCTCCTTTGTATTCCTTTCAGAAGGACATCTGTTGAGCATCCTTGGACATTGTAGAAAGAGTTATAGAAAGTAATGCTAATGTGACTTTATGTAGACCTACTATATTTCACATGAAAATAGACTAGTGAGGACTCACCAGTTCCCAGGAACAGCACTTCATAGTTCCCGTCTGCGGCGACCACCTGGTCCACAGTGATGGTGGTGAACTCGTATTCCACATTGGTCCGGACCACCAGGGGGCGCTTGTGTATCGGGTACACAGCATTGTACATGTTGGGGTGGTTCCTCATGAAGTTGATGACTTCGTCTGGGTAGTCTTTGGTGGACTTCATGTTGGGGGTGAACGTTCCACCGGGGCACTGTGGTTGAAAATGAAGTGAGCATTAAACCTTTGCCTCTCACCATATAAACAAACAACAACAACAACCACTTATCCACGGCATCAAAATGGGAGATATGAGGACTCTTATAGCAGGAGAACACTGTGGGCGGGTATGGATGCTGATGTTTGTGTCCTGCTTGACCGACAGATTGTTTCTATTTAAAGTCTAAGTGTCTGTTATGCCAGCTTGGTTTGGTATTAACACTCATGGTCATGGGAGGGTGAGGCTCACCGTCCCAGGTCGAGGGTAGGGGATCTTCCCAGTGTAAGCGACCCACTGGTAGTTGGGCCCCTCTTTGTGGGCGAAGGGCCCATTGAAGACCTGACGGATGTCAGCCATGGAGTAGACACACACTGCTGAGCCCTTGAACACTGAGCTGTGTGGAGAGGAGAGAGATAGACAGCTCATCGGGTTAAGAACTGAACAAACTAATAGGGACATAATATGACAATGAAAGTCTATTTAAATAATTATTCTTAAATGTTTCTAATAAAAGTGTCTGAGCACAAGTTTGACCACTCACCCCGAGACAGAAAATACTCCGTAGATAACAGGATTCTTGGTATCCTGGGTCGGCTGTATGTAAATGTCTCCTAAAAGAGATACACAGCAAGAATCACGTCAGTACAAAGAGAACAGACCAGCTCTTCGGGATGTCAAACAGTATGAGCAAATGCACACAATGTCTCTCCTCTCCTCTTTTGGACGGCAGGTCAGAGTCATGCATTTTATTTATCTTTATTATCACATTAATAGTTTCTATTTCACTTTGACCTGCATTGTTGGCGCGCAGAGCTTAAAATGTTCACTGTACCCTGTGATTACACCTGCAACACTGTACATGTAACGATTAAATCTAATCTCAAGCTTTGTGTTGCTTAAAGAGGTTGTGTGACTGGACCACAGTCATGCAGTGGCTTGATGGAATTGGAGATAAGCTCGCCTAGCAGTGAAGACAGGGTCAAACCCAAGATGAAAGAAGGAGAAGATGTGGCTAGCCTCTTCCTCCAGGGCTGTACTACTGACATCCATCATACTGCTGACGGAAACAGGAAGTGTAAGCCCACGGCACATCTTTACAGAGCAACAGGGAACTAAAAGAGACATCTCCACAGGATTCCTCCCTAGGCCAAGGTGAAAGCTACAGTATTGTCTGTACAATATGACAAAACAAAGACAAAGCGCTTCAGAGACCACACCCTTTGAACAGTCACCATTCTATCCATGAGCGGATATTCCCAACTGAACCCAGAGGGTAAGGAAACGCATTATTGAGCATCTATGTATACAGAACAATTAATAAAAACTACCAAACTGGGGTGCCATGTAAACATATACAGCTATGGAAATAGCAATGAAACCCACACAGTCACCTGAGGTGTCTAGGCTTGAGTGAGACAACTTGATTGCTGTGTCACCTGAGAGTTTTCTCCAGAATTGGAGTGATTTAATATGTGATGAACAGACACTTTCCCCTTCCTGTGTCCAAGGCTGGGTTGGGTTGGGAGGGGTGGCAGTTGGGCTTGGTTCTACGCCCTAGAGCAGTGGTGTCAAACTCAATCCATGGAGGACCTAGTGTCTGCTCGTTTTAGGGTTTTCCTTTCAATTAAGTCCTAGACAACCAGGTGAGGGGAGTTCTTTACTAATTAGTGACCTTAATGAATCAAATCAAGCACAATGGAGGAGTGAAAACCTGCAGACACTCGGCCCTCCGTGGAATGAGTTTGACACATGTTCTAGAGGAAGATGGAATAATACCTCACATGCCTCTGAGGGTCCCAGAGAGAAACTACACAATATTTGGCCCGTTTGTTTCTTGTTGGAGCCCAGATGGCTGCAGAAGGAGACCTACTTTAGATCTAATAGTGATAGTCTCTCCCCGCTGGCCTGCTTTCTGACTGGCCCACATTCTCATCTCAGGAGTCCCATCCATCTCACAGAACAGAACTCAATAGTAAGTGGTCAGACCGCTTGTGTGTAGTAGGGGAATGGCCATTGGCCAGAGGATAAAGACAAGAGCCTGTGAAGAGCCTGTGAAGAGCCTGTGAAGAGCCTGTGAGAACTGGAATTGAAAGTATTATCATGCAATGGACACCGTTCAGACGTATGATAAATTCTGCATGTCCTAGAGTCTACAATTCTTCCTTTTCCGTAGACTGGGCACATTGTTATTCACTAGGATTAGCAATTCGACATACTTAATAGAATACAGAGAGAAATGCTGTAAGGGTTGTCATATAACAGATGAGCCCCACAAAGAAACACAGCTGTTCCACCACAGGAAGTGATGAATCAGATACTGTAGACAACACTGCAATCACAAACAGACAGAAAACCAGAGCTATCATTAGCTCAATACAGTCGGTTGTCCGAGTCGGTTGTCCCAAATATCTACAATTATTATAATGAGAAAATCTACTTGATTTGAAATATAAATATTCTGACAAGGCAGACAAGAGTTGGCAACAGGAAGGCTTCTCACTTGCATGTTAGTAAAAGCTATGAATGAATCCAGACTCCAAAACTGCCCTTTCCCCTTCCTACTTTTGTAAGGCAATAAAAATCATGTCTCTACATTTTTTGTTTCCTAAAAAAAAAGAATGTATTTCTGCTAGAGCTTAGCCTGATATTGCCCTCTCCCTCTCCCCCCTTCTCTTTCTCTTTCAGTCTTTCTTTCCCTCTACCACTCTTCTTCATCTCTCACAAAGTCTTCTCTGTGAAATCCATGCACAGGAGCCTGCTGAATGTTGAAGCAGTGAGATTGATTAGAGTAACTTCAAACGTGTAAATGTTGTTGATGCTCAAGCTCATGCACCTCTTTAATTATATAAAACCATACAATCTAAACCTTTACAGTATCCATTTCTATAATTGCTTTGCATTCTTAATTTTGACATAGAATGCAAGCACATGTGTCTGGATAAGGGCCTCTACATGGTGTTTCAATTTACTGTGGGTCATTTGGGTGCAAGTTCTCAGGTAGAGCCAAATCTTTAACTCTTTCCAACTGTAAAACTCTCTTGGTCTCTGGTGTCCCAATCTAACAGCAGTCACACATAAAACTGCTGCCACACAAGGACTACAGCTGGGCTGGAAGGCTCATCAATGTTCTCAATAATTACCTCTTTACTTTACTACTACACTAATAGAGAGAGTGAAAATGTAAGTTAATCTGTTCTCTTTATCCAGGCACATACCATAACCCCACCGCCACCATGGGGCACTCTGTTCAAAACATTGACATCAGCAAACCGCTCGCCCACACGATGCCATACACGTGGTCTGTGGTTGTGAGGCCTGTTGGACGTACTGACAAATTCTCTAAAACAACGTTTGAGGAGGCTTATGGTAGAGAAATGAACATTCAACTCTCTGGCAACAGCTCTGGTGGATATTCTTGCAGTCAGCATGCCAATTGTACACTCCCTCAAAACTTGAGACATCTGTAGCATTGTGTTGTGTGACAAAACTGCACATTTTAGAGTGGCCTTTTATTGTCCCCAGCACAAAGTGCACCTGTGTAATGATTATGCTGTTTAATCAACTTATTTATATGCCACACCTGTCAGGTCGATGGATTATTATGTAAACAAATTTGTGCAAAACATTTCTGGGATCTTTTATTTCAGCTCATGAAACATGGGACCAACACTTTACATGTTGCGTTTATATTTTTGTTCAGTGTAGAAGGCACATAGAACTTGTTGCCCCTGTAACTCTGCCATCCTTATTCTCTCCTGTCAACCCCACAACCTGAGCGTGGACCTACAGATGTAGGATCTTAATTGGATACCTCCTTTGTTGCTGAGAATTTTTCTGGCACAGCAGGAACGGCAAACTTGTAGTGCATTCAAGGTTTAAAAAGGCTTGTAAAGTTTGTAATTTCACTTTAAAATGTCAGCCCTAACACCCCCTTCAAAATACACTACATGACCAAAAGTATGTGGACACCTGCTCGTCGAACATCTCATTCCAAAATCATGGGTTTTATAACAGCCTCCACTCTTCTGGGAAGGCTTTCCACTAGATGTTGGAACAATGCTGCGGGGACTTGCTTCCATTCAGCCACAAGAGAATTAGTGAGGTCGGGCACTGATGTTGGGTGATTAGGCCTGGCTCGGTGTTCCAATGGGGTTGAGGTCAGGGCTCTGTGCAGGCCAGTCTAGTTCTTCCACACCGATCTCGACAAACCATTTCTCTATGGACCTCGCTTTGTGCACGGGGGCATTGACATGCTGAAACAGAAAAGGTCCTTCCCCAAACTGTTGCTACTAAGTTGGAAGCAAAGAATCATCTAGAATGTCATTGTATGCTGTAGTGTTAAGATTTCCCTTCACTGGAACTAAGGGGCCTAGCTCGAACCATGAAAAACAGCCCCAGACCATTATTCCCCCTCCACCAAACGTAACTTTTGGCACTATGCATTCGGGCAGGTAGCGTTCTCCTGGCATCCACCAAACCCAGATTTGTCCGTCAGACTGCAAGATGGTGAAGCGTGATTCACCACTCCAGAGAACGCGTCTCCACTGCTCCAGAGTCAAATGGCAGCGAGATTTACACCACTCCAGCTGACGCTTGGCATTGCGCATGATGATCTTAGGCTTGTGTGCGGCTGCTCGGCCATGGAAACCCATTTCATGAAGCTCTCGACGAACAGTTATTGTGCTGATGTTGCTTCCAGAGGCAGTTTGGAAGTCGGTAGTGAGTGTTGCAACCGAAGACAGAGAAGTTTGACGCGCTACTCGCTTCAGCACTCATCGGTCCCGATCTGTGAGCTTGTGTGGCCTACCACTTAATGGCTGAGCCATTGTTGCTCCTAGACCTTTCAACTTCACAATAACAGCACTTACAGTTGACCGGGGCTGCTCCAGCAAAGCAGGAATCTGACGAACTGACATGTTGGAAAGATGTCATCCTACGACGCTGCCACGTTGAAAGTCACTGAGATCTTCAGTAAGGCCATTCTACTGCCAATGTTTGTCTATAGAGATTGCATGGCTGTGTGCTCGATTTTATACACCTGTCAGCAACGGGTGTGGCTGAAATAGCCGAATCCACAACTTTGAAGGGGTGTCCACATAGTTTTGTATATAAAGTGTGTGTCCATTAATTATAATCCACACAATAATTCACATTTCCTGTTGCTGCAGGATTATTTTCCTGCTGTAGCAAACTGGCTCAAATGAAGATCCCACATCTGTATTTAGACCAGGCATTATAACCCAGCAGTAAACTGGAGCCTTGGCGTGGAGCGCACCTATACCCAGTTAACACATGCCCTTCCTAGGGGTACAGTACCTGGCAGGGGTGGGTAGTGGCCACTGGCATCAGGTCTGTGTGACCTTTGCTTCCTAGTTTGGTATGTACTGTATGGATGTACTGTATGGATGTACTGTATGGACATCCTGTGGCTAAGCTGAGTCTGCACTGTTCATTAGGAGACTGCAGCTGCCCGTGCCTTTACACATTTACAGCTTTATTAAAGTAATATCCTGAATTGTGCACTGTACATGTGAACCAGTGCCAGCTCTCCACACTCCTCTAAACCCAGTGTGCACGACATGCCTGTGTCAACAATGAGCCGACTAATAAAGACACAAAGTCATTTATAACTGCAGACTACGCTGCTCACGGTTATGATATCCTTTCATTTACTTTGGTGAAATGGTTATATAGCACCAGTAGCTAGGTTTCCATACAATTGGCGGCAGATTTTCATGCGAACATTCTAAAATCTGCATAAAGAAAATATGTGCATTTTCCAACCAGTGGTGTGCTTCCACCAAACTGACTTGTTGCAGATAAAAATCAATGTGTGATGACGTAGTGCACACAAAATTTACTTTTTCGCTTCCCTGTACCGAATAAAAAATCTAAAGTTCAATGTGTTTCCATCCCATTTTAAACTCTACCAATAGTTTTGTCACAAAAACTGTTGCGTTAAAAAGCAAATGTGCCTACAGGTCGAGGCATGTGAGCTCTATCCCAGGGTTTCCCAAAGTTGGTCCTGGGCACCCCCCATTATTGGAAAGGAGATCAAGATCACCGTGCACTTTCACCACCCCATGGTTTCCCGAGTCGTAGTGGGAGGACTACAGACCATGTCATCGTGTGACTCCGAGTTTACTTCCATCACCATTTCTCGCATATTAAATTTTACCGACACAAAAGATCCCACCATGTTGAACGAACAAATGATCTGTCGGCATTTATAAAATTGTACCGAAACTTACTGTTTCCATCACAGCTGTAGTGATTTAAAAAAAATACGGTATGACTTTACTCGCATAAAAACGATGGAAACGATACTGAGAGAAAAAAACTTGCAAGACTAATGCACACGTGAGCAGAATTAATCAACCATAACCTACACCGTAGTTCAATTAGGCATAATGCAAGAGCGCACTGGGACTAAAAGCAGAGGTCAAATAGAAAGTCACACAAGCTTTTCATTCTTGAGGTTAGGTCTTGTCTACTGTAGGCTCGGTCATAGAATAATCAGAACTCTTATCATTCCAAAACTCTATTTGGAAGCAGTGAGACAGAGATAGAAAGACATGGTAATGGACTTGACATTCCTGCCTGGTTACTTGATCTGTTTGCCACGAGGCAGCAAGCCCCTCATATCCAGTCTATTACAGGAGGGGAGTGCTTCCCAGACACCTCTTACTGCACAGCTAGGAAAAAGGAGCCTTTTGTTTGAGACATCTTGAAAGAAAATAACAACTACAGTACCGGAGTGTGTGCAATTCCCATTACAGCATGCCGTATGGGCCACAGGAGGATTGAGAGAAGGTTGTGTAATGAAAGAGGCTGCCATATGGGGCAGAGACTGGGCTGTGTGCAGTGCAGTGCAGTGTAGTCAGGCTCTGGGCAGGTGGTGGTATGCAGAGCTAAAACTGGCCATAGATGAAGCTGGGTGGATAGTGGAAGCAGGGTTATAAAAGACAGGCAACACCAACTAGTTCCTCTAACTGGTCTGGAGTCAGTTCCACCACCAACTGGTCTCTTTTTGACCCAGTTTTAATACCAATGAGAAACCTCAAGACATTCAACATGTCTGGTTCCTCACTCCTCACTTTGATGTGGATAGCAGGTGAAACCACAGTAAAGAGGAGGAAGGAGAACTCACGGAGCTCGTCGAAGTGCGTCTCAATACCGTCGGCCCCCGGCACTGAGCAGATGAGCCGTGCCTTCAGGAAAGTGCTCCACTTGTTGACCAGACAGCAGTGTCCACCGTCATCATTCTGCAGGGAGAGGCGGAGGGAGAGAGAGAGGGGGAGAAAGAGGGGGAGAAAGAGGGGGAAGAAAACACAGTCTTCATCACACACACACTCACATCCTCCGTCTTCCCACCAAACACAAACAGGTGGAGTCACCCACATACAGTACATTGTACATATTTTAAAAAGCAGCCCGGTTTTGAGAGCGGGCCTGCAAAACATTGAGAAATGGTTAGTTGTGGGGGGATGAGATGGTAAACACTGTCTCCTCTTATTTAGAGCCTCTCCCATCAGTCATGGAGCAGGGCCAAATTCCAGCCTAGTGAGAGAGTGTCAAATCCAGTAGATGTGATTTAGAGGTTTCCTCGTCCATTCTTCTTAAAGCACGTTCCACTTTGATGGGGAAAACACGCTGCCGGGTCATATATTTGAAAATATTGCTGTAACAAATTGTTTTCACCACATATATAATTTTTGTGCCCACATAATGGTTGAAGGCTTGTACATACTGCACACTACATTCTACACACATGTATTTTTTAATAAATCCCTAAGTGGGATTTGAAAAGTAGTTTTCACACGCTCCATTTTTAGAGTAATTACGCAGTACAGTTGTTCATGTTTCGGGGTACGAGGAGTGTGTAGAGCCAATAAAGTGAACGGCAGTAAGAGCATCCAGATGTGTATGGAAGTGAGAATGACAGGACAGCATCCCTGGGGACCAGTGTAGAAAACACTGAGAGGGGAATGAGTGTTTGTGTGCAGGGTCACTGCCTCACCCATTCAAAATAAACACAGTGGGGAGCGGCGGAAGAACTGGAGCAGGAACTGAATAAACACTATGCTCTCCATGTTTGTAAGCAAAGCCCAGAAAGATGCACCCTGTTATTTGTTTTTGCTGAATTTCTCAATTTGTAGCTCTGGGGTAGAAGGTCAGGGCCATGCTTTCATTAAGACAGTGTGTCGTTAATTACCACAGACACTAGAGGATACTGATGTTGAAGGGCTGCTGGGCTGGTTAGAGGCTCTGGACTTTACCAAGCTGTTAACGGAATACCTAACATACTACATCCTTTAGAGTTTTTTAAGACTACCAGTCAGGAGAGGTCAGAGGATCATGGGGTCGTAAGTCAGAGTACCATCTCATGGACAGAGGCAAGCATTGTACACAGGAAGTGTTAGACAAACACAAGTAGTTCCACACACAGAAAGTCCCAATGAAACTGGTTCCTTTCTTAATGAAATTAGAGTTTATTTATCATGTTGTGCATGTCACGTGTATTGTTATTTGACAGTTCTGAGGTGAACGTGGTCTCATTATTAGTACACTGGATTCTGAGGCTGTGCTCACCAGGCAGATCCGACCGATGCGGGCCTGGGTCACGGGACTCTGGCCCATCTCAGCAGACGTCTCACGGAAGAAGAAGTAAAGCTTGTCGTCATTCCTCTCTGCACTGTCAGGGATGAGCTGCACATGGATGAAGGAAGGGTCTGGGAGAAGGAGAGCGAGAAGGAGAGCAAGAAGCTTAGGAGGAGATGAATTTCACTGATAATTTACAAAATGTCTGCATTTCGTGTTTATTAAAGGATTGGATTTTGTAAACATAAATATTATTAAACTTTTCATTAGTTTCGGCTCACATGTTGACAAATGGTCCTTTCAAATCCATGCCATCCCATGCATAAATAGCACAATAGTCTTAATAGCATAGACAAGCTCTTGTATAACACCTATCTTGGCTGCCAAATAAGCCAGTTATTGATTTACCATTTAACCATCTGGAGTTATACTGGTCTGTACGCATGGCGGTCTGTTTCCCAGTACGGAAGATGGCAGAGTCTGTTCCCATGAAGTCAATGTAGACCCCAGCATAGAGTTCACCATCTGGGAGAAAAGGAAAAGAGAGAGGGAAGGACAGAGGAAGAGGGAGAGAGATTAATCGGCTGAGCCAAATACTTTTGACTCTTTGATATAAAGCCAGCCACACCCTTGGCATAAAGGACTGAGGCTCTCATTACACAGAACCCCCACCCCCATAATTAAACATTTAGTCCCTGGCAAGACCCCTGGCAGGACTATAGTGCCCAATACCTCAGGGCTTTCCATCCCCTACGTCCAGATACATGTCTTTAGACTATCTTCATCAGGGTGTCTGTGTAAAAGTTATCTTTAGCACATAATGTGGACAAGGACAGATGAACAACACACATTATATTACACACTCATACATAAGGAAGATTGTACTGTTTGGCCAAAGGGACTAGCCACTAACCAGGCCTTTTAAAGTGATGTACAAAGAGAAGGAGGACCATAGTCTTGTTAATCAGTGGGGAGGCTGGGCGTTGGTCCTCCAGTTGCGCCTAATATTTACATTTACATTTTAGTAATTTAGCAGACGCTCTTATCCAGAGCGACTTACAGTTAGTGAGTGCATACATTCTCATACAGGCCCCCCGTGGGAATCGAACTCACAACCCCGGCGTTGCAAGCGCCATGTTCTACCAACTGAGCTACACAGGTCATATGACAGCAGGTATCTCAGCATGCATTTGTCAGCTACGGGGAGTTCTCAAGAGTGGGGTTAACAGGACAACAGGGGCTCAGGGCAAAGCGCGCAACAACTACACTACTAGTATGTACTAACTAGAGTCAATACAGGCCCTACAGTATAAAGAGTGTATGATATCTAGGGGTGGGGTAGATGGGTTAGACCTACATGTGTGACCTTTTAGGGGTCAAAGTAGTCTCCAGTTCTGGGATTTCCGGTAGGCGGCGACATCGTGTAGGTAGATGTGCTGACTACTCGGTCCCACTCTTGTTCATGTTTATACCTGCTAACCTTACATGTAATTGCTAAAAAAAGACAACCTGAGTTTTGTAATACCTGTGGTAAACGAAAATGCCTAAACTGCCGAAACCTGACAAACCCGAGGCCACCTCACTAAGGTCTAACCCTGCCGTGCAAGAGAAACCGCATGGGCAGGTAACAATGGCGGGCATCAAATCTCTGAACTTGAGAAGAAACACGTTGCAATAGCTGAGGGATTCAAGACTTAATTTGCCAGAATGGATGCAAAACTGTACAACATCCCAGACTTCTCAAGGCCAGTGGATCGTCAACCTTGAAGCAGGCCAGGTCTAAACACTAGAAATGACATGCGCAAAGCTGAAGAGAGACAACGAAATGCTAATGGCGAGGTTAATGGACCTAGACGGGCGCAGTAGGAGACAGAACGCGAGGATCGTGAATTTACCCGAAACAACAGAAATGGGCACACACCCCAAGTTCTTCCTGGAGGTCCTAGGGGAAGATGTTCTCCCCTCTCCCCCGGAGCTAGACAGGTCCCACCACAGCCTCAATCAGAAGCCTGGACCAGGCCAGAAGCCTTGCGCTGTCATTGTTTGCTTCCAACGTTACCAGACGAAGGACCTTGTGTTGTGGGCTGCACGGGCGAAGGGGCCCCTGAAATACCGTGGGCACACTGTACGCTTCTACAAGGACTACAGCCCCGAGGTCACTAATAGGAGGGCTGAGCTCAAAGACACCATGTCCAAGCTCTACGAACGTGGCCTCCGACCCTCCCTCTGCTACCCTGCCCTCCGCTACCCTGCACTCTTAGGCCTACAGCTCGATCGTGGTTATACAAGGCTGCTATACTAAGCCTACTAATGATAATGATATGACTTATTATTATTATAATGATGATCATAACAATAATAGCAATAATAGCAATAAGTTATTGTTATTATATTACACTAAATAAATAATAAATAATACCAGAGGCTGTTCTAGGTGGGAACTGGGGATGGGATGGTCAGGTGTATGGGGACCTGGGATCGTGGGAGGAGGGAGGGATATGTTTTTTTATGGTCATCCAAAACCTTTTTTATTTCTCACACATGCTATGATTACATTTGACCATTTGTAACCTTTAAAAATGTACCAAACTGTGACATTGTATACTCTGATGTTTCTCATGATTGGTATAAATATATATATTTTCTTAACACAAAGTAGTCTCCAGTTCTTAATCCCTGCCATCAGTCACCCATAGCTGATGCTAACTGGTGGAGATGGGGGGTGGGGGGGTTTAATTGGTCTCAGACAACAGTCCCCTGGTTTCCTGGTTCCGCCCTGGTCAGCTGGCGGTGTGCTAACATGGGAAGACAACACTGACAATTTACACTGACTATCCCACCCCACAGAGTCAGGATCAACTTACATTGGTGGCAACTGTGAGGTCTGGCCCTGGCTGAATGACTGAGTGGTGGGTGGAGAACACTCTACTGAACACCAATATCATAAACATTACAACATGAAGTTACCAGAAACCAAACATGTTGCAAGGTGTCATGTGATTGCTCTGTGTACATTGGCCAGGAATGCGAATAATTGGATTTCTCATGAAGATAAATGACCACAACAAATCATATGAATATGTTCTTGGTATTTTTCCATTGGATGTCATGAAACCACCATGGAAAGGATTGGCTTATTAAAACAGTGAACCCAGTGGTATGTGCCCAAACTGCCCACAGCTCTTTCAATCCTAACAAAGCAAAATGCCTTCTGATTTTATCATCAGAGATGAGATGACCATTCCACTGTGATCTAACTCGTGGGAAATAGGCACCGAATGGAAAAGGACACTGTCTGGACAGAACTTAGCCATTAAAACATTTTTTTAAGTGTGCCAAAAACAAAAGTGGCCATTAAATTGAGGATAGAGGAGGCCATTTTTAGTAGTGGGAAATAAAAGGAGGCGTACACAGGGGACATGGCCTCAAGGTCCCTCAGATTCACTGAGAGAGCCATAGGGACAAACTCTCCAGCCATTCTCCAGCCATGTGACCAAGTGTAGATGATACTCACTGATCAAAGCTGAGACGCTGTTGAGCTTTGGGTCGTAGGAGCACTTTCCCTTCCCAGACTCCACTTTGCCCGGCTCCAAATGCCATATGTATTCCTGAAATAGAAAAATCATAAGAAAGAAGCGATACATTCATAGTACTCTTCATCATGTCACAGTGATTCCCTAGTGGAGGTAAAATGAGGCAGTGCAATATGCTTCCAGTAGGTCCTCTGGGGCCTATAAGGCATTGTGGTTTTGGAGGATGAAACATAGAATAATGAGAGTGCCTTCATACAGAAAAAAAACTCTCAATTCAACACAAAAATCTCTCCTATGCCAAATGTCTCTCATCCTCTCTTGGTTATAGCTGTTTATGTACCCCTACTGCTGCTGACACCTGCAATCCTGCTCAGTGAAAACACTTCTGGGATGGAGGCTGGATGACTGATGCTCATGACTCCTAGCATCCCTATACACAGCACTGAAAGGTGATTGGCAGGTATTTGGATTTGCGGGTGGGAACAACCAATGACATGTGATGACATGCCCCGTAGCCTTGCCACAAACCAGAACAAGTCAAATCCCCAAAACCCTCACTCTTCAATTGAGGAAGGGAGGAGAGACGAAGACATCTCTGTCCTTGTCCGTCAACACCCGAGCAGGAGAAAGTCAGGTGCTTGCCAAAGTTTTTCTCCACTGGCTACTACGTGCACCCTTATGAGATTCCCTCTCACCTTTGATTAAAATCAACCGCACATGTAAATCTGAAGGTGTTGGTAGCTCCCTGCAAGAGATGCCAGATGTTGATGTGCACCAAGTCACCAATGGTTACATGTGCTAAGGGATATTCTCTGAACATGTTTTTAAACCCTTTATGAAAGATTTTACCCTACAGAGGACTGAGTGTTGCATGCAACACATTCAAAACATAAGGCTGAAAACATAATGGCCCTGTCGTTCAAAGGGTTAAGAGTTCCTTCCTGTGCTGTGAATGGCGGGAGAGCACAAACATTCAAATCATGCACAGCTATGTGGGTCTATTAATTCCTTTCTGCTTTAGCAGTTGGACACAGTCGGCTGGTGTTTGTCCTGAACCAACAGGGCTGCAGTGAGAGTGGGTCAGACGTTAACTGTGTGAGACCTGTGGGAGGGGTTGGTCCACATTCCTACAGAGGGAGGGCGGGGTGGGGGGGGTAAAGGACTGGAGGGTGGGGCATTCTGTGTCCTCTAAGACAATTGACAGGACAATGTGAGGAGGATAGGAAAGTTACTAATTTATCCATTACAAATGAAACATCTTTATTTGAGTGTGTACTGTATCAACATGTTCTGTGACCTTGCGTAGCAAATCACAAAATGCTGGACTTTCATCTGTCTCATGCATAAGAAGCAGGCAACACAAATACTGACAAATCAGTTCAACAACACACATAGAGAGAGAAAGAGAGAAAGAGAAAGAGAGACCTCAGAAAGTGAGGCTTACACAAAAATGGACAGATGAACAACGAGAGCAACGGACAACACAAATATGATGGATGAAACTAAAAAGGACTAATGTTTGAGCGATCAAAAATGTTGAATAACGGACAGGGTCTAGAGAAGACATGCTCAGCCATGAGGAGATAAGCGGTCCACTTCACTAGACACCCAACGGACTGGGACAATTCAACTGATGACAACAGAAATGCTTCAAGACACACAGAATGAGCACAGACAGAACAGAAGGGTCGGGAGACATGCACAGCCCTCCCCAACAGAGAGATAGAGGTATGGCATGCTGGCTGAGTCCCATAGTAGGTCTCCCCAGCCCATAGCGGTAAAGCTCAGGGGCAGACAGGCAGGCAGGCAGACCCGCCCATGCTAGTGATGGGCACCTGACCCAGACCCACGTCCCACCTTTAGTCCCAGTGTTTCGGACACAGCGTTTGGTTGGGCCGCGCGGCTAGCCCTCCCTCCGGTCTGGGGCATCTGCAGGTGCATGGCGGCCTAAAACAGGAGACAGCGACACATTCTGGATGTTACGCACCTGCAGTAGGTGGGACCTGACGTGAGCTCAGTAACTCTGTAAACTGGTCTGGGACTGATGTGACTGCATGACTGTTTCAATAAATGTCATTTGGAAAGCCTGTGAGGACAATCTGTGGATATCTCATTCTCTACATCCTCTGTACAAGAAATGTATGCGTGGCTCAACTTCACCAGATGGTGTGAAAATCATCAATATTAGTTCTGTACCATGCGGCTGAGTCAATACAGTCTCTCACTGTATGGTAAATACATTAAACCCTGGCCTGAGCCACTGCCAAGAACCAACATTTGGCTTTTCCAGACAATACTAGCTATCATAGCCTCATGTAGGCTACTACATACCCTTTAGGTATTTAGAAAGGAAATCGTCTACAGCTGAGTGAATAGTACGTGTCTGAAAAATGGCTGAAAAAGAAAGAATGATGTTTTCTGGCAAGCTGATAACAATATATCTGGGAAACAGCTACAAATGTCAAAGCAGGTTCCTGACGTGTGAGAATGAGTGTGTGTATGTGTATATACATTCACATGAGACAATGAGCACAGTAGATTTCTGGCATTGAGCAGCATTTCGCCTTCTCCTGGTTTCCTGTCTGGAAAAGCTGTGTGTATAGTGGTGTACCATTTCACATCTCTACTCCCATACTTAACTCCAGACCAGCAGAGAGAGAGATGGGACTCACGGGAAGAGTCTGACCTGTCTGTTTAAGATAAAGGGGAAAATAAAAGCCATCTCATTAATGTACTATAACTAGAACATTCCACTGGCACCCCATAATGGGAGCTCTCATGGCCAATTACCCAACTTCTCACATGGTGAGGACTGGAGGCTAAGGGGGCATAGCGGGAGCAGGCCAACTGAGAGTCACACAGGGCTGCTAGAGCTATGAGTGGATGGATGGATGGATGGATGGATGCCCTTAGTAACGGTCTTATGGATCCAAATGAAATAGCAAAGTGGTGTGCAGTGGTCATCGGTCTAACTGTGTCTTCTGTGTCAGAGAGGAAGAAACAGGGAAGTATCCTCTATCTATAACTTTTATTTATTCCCTTTTAAAGGGGGGGGGGCAACACAACTCTAGATCACTATTACTCCACACACAGAAACGCATACAAGGCCCTTCTTCGCCCTCCCTTTGGCAAATCAGACCATATCTCTATCATCCTGCTTCCTGCTTACAAGCAAAAACTCTAACAGGAAGTACCAGTGACGTGCTCAATACGGAAATGGTCCGATGAAGCGGATGCTAAGCTACATGACTGTTTCACTAGCACAGACTGGAATATGTTCCGGGATTCATCCGATAACATTCAAGAGTTTACCACATCAGTCACTGGCTTCATTAATAAGTGCATCGACGACGTCGTCCCCACAGTGACTGTACGTACATACCCCAACCAGAAGCCATGGATTACAGCAGTGGTTCCCAAACTAGGGGTCGCGACCCCATGTGGTGTCACCTGATATGAAAATGGGGTCGAGGGTGAATTTCCTAACCCCCTCACCCCCCAAAAAACTACAAAAATACATATATATTATAATATCGTCTATGTATCTCAAAATCATTGTAATGTGGTTAACCTTAAAAATCTAAATTAAAATTATTCAAATCTAAAATTCTATCAGAGAGCGCCCTTAGATCAAGGGAAAATCCTTCCCACAGTGAATGGCTAGGCCTGCTATGCTATGAAACCACACACTATTGCAGAGACTTTAATATTACCGGCCGCAATTGATATGGTGAAAACAATGTGTGGGGAGGCAGAGGCACAGAAACTCACATCAATACCATTCTGAGATAATACTGTTAAATGAAGAATTTATGCTATTGCTTGCAATCAAGAGGAAACTGACTGAACGACTCAAAAACTCCCCAGCTTATGCTCTCCAAATGGACGTTAGCTGTGAGTGCCGAGATGCCAATACATTGACTTTTGTTCTCTACACATGTCAGGGGATGCTATTCACGAAGACATTTAGTTCTGTCTCACGAATCCCGAGCATTAAATGGCACAGGGGATGTTCAGTGTGCTGCATGGCTATATTGACAAAAAACAGATTCCATGGAATCGAATGGTGGCTCCATCAATGGCGGGACGGTGGGCAGGCCTCTGCACTCCAGTTATGAACGTGTCCCCCCTCTGCCATATGGATGCATTGTTTGATTCACCGAGAGCAACCGGCGGCAAAAGCGCTGAGCACAGAACTAGGAGATATACTGCAGCATGTAACTTCAATTGTAAACTACATCAAAACCCATCCACAGGCGCACGCCTGTTTGCAAAACTATGTGGAGATATGGGATCAGAGCATGACAATGTTCTATTTCATATCAAGGCTTGGTGGTTATTGAGGGGGAGTGTTGGAAAGATGTTTCACATTGAGAGAGGAACTGTTGTTATTCACAATGGATGTAAAAAAAAAAAACAGACTTGGTTGACTTTCTGTGTAATGAAAATAAAATGTATCCTTGCCTACAGTTGAAGTCGGAATTTTACATACACCTTAGCCAAATACATTTAAACTCAGTTTTAATCAGTACAGCACTAAGATCGAATCCTACTACTCTGATGCTCGACGGATGTGGAAGGGCTTGCAAACTATCACAGATTACAAAGGAAAACACAGCCGTGAACTGCCCAGCGACGGGGGCCTACCAGATGAGCTAAATACCTTCTATGCTCGCTTCAAGGCAAACAACACTGAACCATGCATGAGAGCACCAGCTGTTCCGGATGACTGTGTGATCTCGCTCTCTGTAGCCGATGTGAGTAAGACCTTTAAACAGGTTAACATTCGCAAGGCCATGGGGCCAGACGGAATACCAGGACACATACTCAGAGCATGCGCTGACCAGCTGGCAAGTGTTTTCACTGACATTATAAACCTATCCCTGGCCCGGTCTGTAATACCAACTTGTTTCCAGGACCTCTATACCAGGCAGTGTCAGAGGAAGGCCCAAAACACTTTCAAAGACTCCAGCCACCCAAGCCATAGACTGTTCTCTCTGCTACCGCACGGCAAGCGATACCAAGTCTGGAACCAACAGGACCCTTAACAGCTTCTACCCCCAAGCCATAAGACTGCTAAACAAGACTGCTAAATAGCTAACCAAATGGCTACCTGGACGACCTGCATTGACCCTTTTTTTGCACTAACTGTCTTGCACTGACTCTATGCACACACACTAGACTCTACCCACACACTCACATTTACACTGACACCAAACACACACACACACTACATACGCCCACACACACACATAACATGCTCACACATGCATACTGACGCCACACACACACTCACACACACTTTCACACCACATACGCTGCTGCTACTGTCTGTTTTCTATCCTGTTGCCTAGTCACTTTACCCCACCTATATGTACATAGCTACCTCAATTACCTTGTCCCTCTGCACATCGAATCGTATATAGCCATGTTATTTTTACTCGTTATTGTTATTTGTTATTCACTGTGTATTTATTCCTTGTGTCACTATTTAAATGTTGTATTACATTTTATATCTTTAACTCTGCATTGTTGGAAAAGGGCCCGTAAGTCAGCATTTCACTGTTAGTCTACACCTGCTGTTTACAAAGCATGTGATAAATAAAACATGTATATGATTTTACAGACAGAGCCGTAGTCTCCCTCACCTCTTCATTTTGTGAACACAGACTCAATGTATTCCATAAGGTGTGGAGCTCTAACCTGTGGTTTGCGTCCACGGTTGACGTACGTACAGATGGGGTTGTAGGCCCCAGTACCACAGACATACAGGTGGGTCCTGTTCCATGGCTCAATCAGACGTATGAAGTTCCCACACTCGCCCTGCATGGGGACAAACATAGGCAGACATTAATGGATGATCAACATGTATGATAATATCCATATACAACATTGTACATTTAAGTAATTCAGCAGACGCTCTTATCCAGAGCGACTTACAGGAGCAATTAGGGTTAAGTGCCTTGCTCAAGGGCACATCAACAGATTTTTCACCTAGTCGGCTCGGGGATTAAAACCAGCGACCTTTCAGTTACTGGCACTGCGCTCTTAACCACTAAGCTACCTGCCGCCCCTACAACATAAAGCATAGTACAAGCGGCATATATCTTTAACATCAATGGGAATGTCAATATATTAACATGCCAGTATAACAGTAATCTATTTATCCACACCCTACACTGGCAGATGGGGAAGAGTGAGACTGGTTGGTCTCCTATGAGTGCCAGTCCTGCCCTGTCTGTTTGGCCAGACAGAGAGGAACCAGGCTTTTACAGGGCCAAATGAAATCCCCATAGGTGTATGCCACTAAACTGGGTTCTCGTAAGTCCTTATTCATTAAACTAAGAACCCAAACAAATACTTAGGCTATACACCTAGCAGTACAGGCACACACATAGAAGTGAGTAAAACATTTAAAAATATATCTATACTTTATAGATCGCTAAATACAGAAAATACATTACTACATGTTACGGGTGGCACAAGTCACCTGACCTGAAACATAAATCCTGAATTAGTCGATAGTCAACAGAAATACTTACATTGGTGTCCTTCCCACTTAGAACACACTCAGTCTTCCTCTGCTGGGAGACAGGCCAGTGGAGCTGAAGGCAGGGGGGAACAAGGGTCATTTTATAGCTACCCAACACATGGCACAACCCGTTCAACATCACTGGACTTTATAGATGTTGGGCTAAACCTACCATGGGGTACTATTAGCCCCCTTGGAATGGTCATATCCAGATTTTGTTTTCACAGTGTTATACAACCCCTGTCTCCAGAAAATAGCGCAGTCCAACACAAACTGGAGGTGAGCTAATCAAAATGTCAGACACGGGGCAGCGAAATGGGACATATGACCCTCGGGAGCCATTTTTGAGAGCTGAGGTAAAGGTTTAGTCTCAACCTGGGATCATAGAGCTCTGGATAGGAGAGGGGAGGGGAGAAGGGGGAGGAGAGGTGAGGGGAGGAGAGGTGAGGTGAGAGTAGGTAAGGGAAGGTGAAGAGGGGAGGGTTAGTGACTGTAAGGTCTTACAATGAGCGGCTCCTTGTTGATGTCATGCAGGTCCAGGGACAGGATGTAGTCCTTACTGCCAACGTACATGCGGTCGTGGTCCTCGTCCATACGCAGGATACGGTAGTCAGACGTGTTGAGCAGGTAGGCAAATTGCTGGGCAGTGCTGGTGGACCTCAGCTCTGCAGAGAGGAGAGGGGGAATAAGAGAGCAAAATATCCTTTAGGGACAGACAGCTGCTGTACACAAACAGATTAACACACACTTGCAGGCTCAACTAACACATTTCACCCCTGTTCTGCATACCCACGTGGGGTTATGTGATGGTTTTTCATCAACACTGAAACCCAATATAGTCGATCAGTGACAAGCGCTAGAGAGCGTCCCATTGTGTTGCCATCTCAATACCATCTTTCCTCCATATCTCTGTTAAATACCGGCATGGACATCTGCCAAGGATGCTTTTCTCTGGTCATCTGAAGGTCTGAGTGGGTCTTCTCCGGCTACATTAAGAATGCAGTTGACAGACATTCCCATGTCAAGAGTAAAAGGACCTTTCCTATAGACCCTTCCCTGTGAGACTGGAGTGTTTGTTTGATACGTTTTCCACGGTTCAGCAGCCATGTACAGACAAGGCAGTGCTGTTTGAGAGGCCCGCCGTCCCTCCGCTGCTTGGGCCCTCCACCAAAGACAAAAAATCAATGGGACCCTACAGGGTAGGGCTTAGCAGGGTGGCAATGATATACTGCTGCTTGACAAACATTGAGGTTTCACTCAATAAGCTTCTACTGAACTAATTTAGGAGACAACATCTCCACGATGCCACAGCTATCCTTCATATATGTTCATTTTAGTGGTTAAATTGTGGTGAGGAAAAAACAGTAGATGAATCACAGATAGGAAGCGTGTAGGTCTAATTCAAGTCTTTTACTGTTTATATGCTATACAGTATATCAGAACTAAGGTGTGCCTGCACATAATCAGAGGATCAACTTCAAATAAAATGGTCCTGTTGTATCGCAGCTTCAAAGTCAAAACCAGCACAGCATAGTTCAAAATAACCAATCATTCTGATATTGCATAAGGGTAAAAATATGTTTATTAATGTCCATGTTTATGCAGGACCTGTTTCTAAACTGGTCACTCTAATCTGGGAATAAGACATGCCTCCATAATGCCAAAGAAGGCGTGTGCTGGTTTACATTCAATCCCCTCTGTTTGAACATGGTGAAAAATACATTCCTATGTGGCTGTCTGACTGTCTCTCAGGAAGTTGTCTGAATACCAAGACAAGACGAAAGCCATCCCCATGTCCCCCATCAAACCACAGGACCTTAAAATAAACTCCATCCACAGACATTTCTCAACATGCTTACCACGGAATCTGATATTACCAGTCTTCCATACCGGATCTAAATTTAACTCGGGGTTACGTCAATAATCAACGATTAATAGCATTAGATTTGCTATATTTGCACAGTTTGATTTAATAAGTGTGTCTGCCAAGGATCTGTTTATAGGTCATCTGTGTGATTGACAGCTGTCGGGGCCCTATGCGTAAGAGCTGCGACATGTGGTCTCACCCTGTGATTATTTGTGTTTGAGAGTTGGGATGAATGATGAGTCCCCATACTCCACCCCTCTGAATATCACTGGCTATGTGCTACTGGACAGGAAGTTTAACACACATGCACAAACACGCTTGCACGTACGTGCACATGTATGCACGCACGCACACACACACACACACACACACACACACACACACACACACACACACACACACACACACACACACACACACACACACACACACACACACACACACACACACACACACACACTCCAGGGGCCAGTTCAAGCCCTTTCTGAACCAGCTTGTCAGCAACTCCTCAGCTTATGTTTGTTTTCAGAGAGTAGCTGAATGTGACCATCTGTTAGGTGAGGAGGGAGTCAGAGCACTACAGGGCAACAATAGACCCTATAGAGCTCTCCGTATCCAGCTCCAAAACATATATAATCGAAGCTCTGATAATGGATGGATAATGGAGTCATAATGCACACTAAAGGGTGGTGACAAACACTCTCTGCCACACCAAACATATGACCTATTTAAAGATCTATAGCTATCTTGTCATATGTTTCTTTTCACCAAAACTAAAACATTACACATTAAACATCCATAACATTAGATATGCATATTTAGATAATAACTCCCTCCCTCCCTTTGTCAGTGAAAAGCAGTTCTCTAAACACATATAAAATGTTTACCAGGCTGCGTAGAAAATCCTATTTCATCTGTTCTGGTAAAATAATGGATCAGAGAGTCCCAACTCTCTCTTTAGGTTCCTTAATGCTCCTGTAGCACTGCAATTAAAGCATTACTAAGAGGAATCTACTGTTTCTATACCAGCATTAGAGGCCATTCTCCCTGGGATTTGGCATTGAGCTCATTGTAAACCCAACATGCCACATAGGCTTCTTGTTGTATCAGTCAGAGAAATTGAACTTCCTGGTGTCTCGTCGGGGGTAAATACACAAGAAAAAAAGAGGAGGAAATCTGGAAGGAAAAGCCTGCCAGCTACTGTACATTATCCCCTGCTCTCCCCTCCTCTCCCCTGTTCAACCCTGCTCTCCCCTGCTCTCCCCTGCTTGACCCTCTGCTCAGACAGACAGAAGCACTGGGGAGTGTGCTCATATTAAATGTTGATCCAGGGCTCATAATGGCGGCAGGCTGGGCTCAGCTACGCCACACTGCCTCAGAGGTCAGGCCACCTGTGGAAACAAGCCCAGGAGGCCTGCAGAGGGACTGGGCAAACACTGAGACACCATCAGCAAGCTAAGGCACACAACAGAGGGGAAAACGCGCATGATCAAGACGGATGGTGATTTTTGACCAGGCTACTTCATTCGCTGTCATACCATTTGACAAGCAGAATGAGAGATTTGGTCGGGTTTAGAGGGAACAGGGTGCCTCATACCACATTTTTTAAACGCTTTGCTTGCTTCATTCAATACTTCCATCTGTGTAGCCAATCTAAGGCCTATTCCAAGAAGTGCTTGTTCTCTCTATATTACAGGACAGGTGCATGATCCCCAACAGTAGAGGGAGTGAAGCAGCAGGAATTAGACCAGGGCCAGGGGAGCTTTAGTACAGGAAGAGGCTCCAAGCCTGAACTCCTCTGAGCTCTCTGTGTCATCCGCATTAAGGCAGGATGGCAGTTTCACAACACAGACTTGGAGATTTGGAGGCCTGGAGCAGCATAAGAGTGTATCTATTAGAGGCAGATCAACTCTTAAAGTAGTCCATTACTGCGTGTGAGGTTTTAGCCCACTCTGGGGGGCCTGTAGGACAGAGGGGGGCATTGTTTCGGGGGTGGACCAATTCCCCCCGTTGAATGGCAATGGCTCTATTAGTGGAGAAAGTTAGACTGCTTGTTGCTGGTAAGGGAATCTGATCCGTGTACTCCTGATCCCTCAAACACACACGCAGGAGTAATGGTGCACAGAGAGGAAGGTGATCCCACTGTAGCTTGAGCTGAGAATTCTCAGTAAAGTTGTTGGTGGCGGTCCTGTCCATTCTCTCTAGTCTACTGAGCAGGGACAATCCTCTTCCCCTGTCCGGATATCTCTAGATGGTGCTGGCTTCCCATAACTAAACACTCCATTCTATTAGCAGAAAAGGTTATGTTAGTGGATGTGGCTTGGAGTCATGTAAGATGAAGCCCAAATCCACAGTTTCTTAATAGCCTTTTCTCTGGCAGATGCCCCATGTCCTCAACTCCTCAGCCAGCTATCATACAGCCCAAACTCAAGCTCAAGGTCACAAATAACACATTGACATATGCATTTTAACCTGTTGCTCCCTCTAAACATATGTGCACTTCACTATGTTGTGAAATGGCCACAGACTCTAATTCCCCATCTCTAATGGTTCAGGGTAAATCATAAGGACTTCCTCTGTGACTACACAGGCAGGTGCCAGAAAGCCTGCTAAGCCATGTTTCTGCTGGCTACAGGAGGGAGGCAGAAATCAAAGGCGGATCTCAGAAGCCCCACAGTCAAACCGGGTCATTCCTCCTGAGAGAATACTTGGCCACTGATGATGAGATCCCATGGCTGCAGGCACACATGTTACAACATACAGGTAACTGCCAAAATAAGAGAGAGGGGTCTCTAAGGAGCATAGGGGGTTTAAAGGGTGTGTGTCTCTCTCTCTGTGTGTGTGTGTGTGTGTGTGTGTGTGTGTGTGTGTGTGTGTGTGTGTGTGTGTGTGTGTGTGTGTGTGTGTGTGTGTGTGTGTGTGTGTGTGTGTGTGTGTGTCAGTCACCAGTTCTCACCCAAATTGAACACTTATGGGAGATTCTGGAGCGGTGCCTGAGATTTTCTACCACCATCAACAAATTATGGACTTTCTCATGGAAGAATGTTATCGCATACATCCAATAGAGTTCCAGACACTTGTAGAATCCATGCAAAGGCACATTAAAGCTGTCCTGGCCGCTCGTGGTGGCCCAATGCCCTATTAAGACACTTTATGTTGGTGTTTCCTTTATTTTGACAGTTACCTGTATCTCCCCATCTTCAATTAATTGCCTGTGGGCCTAGTTTACTTTTTTATTTTTATTTATGAGTTCAATGGCATATATTCTTGAGATCCCCTGGCGAAACTGGCATCTCCATTTGAAGTGGTTGTATTTTTATATAGGTTAAAGCTGTCATATAATATACTGACATATATATAAACGCAACATGCAACAATTTCATATAAGGACTTACAGTTCATATAAGGAAATCAGTCAATTGAAATAAATTCATTAGGCCCTAATCTGGGATGGTGTGGTTACACGTGGTCTGCAGTTGTGAGACCGGTTGGAAATACTGCCAAATTCTCTAAAACGACGTGTATAAAAGACACTTGTCCACAGAAGCAATCATCAATCAGATTCCAAACTCTCCACCATGGCCAAGACCAAAGAGCTCTCCAAGGATGTCAGGGACAAGATTGTAGACCTACACAAGGCTGGAATGGGCTACAAGACCATCGCCAAGCAGCTTGGTGAGAAGGTGACAACAGTTGGTGCCATTATTCGCAAATGGAAGAAACACAAAAGAACTGTCAATCTCCCTCGGCCTGGGGCTCCATGCAAGATCTCACCTCGTGGAGTTGCAATGATCATGAGAACGGTGAGGAATCAGCCCAGAACTACACGGGAGGATCTTGTCAATGATCTCAAGGCAGCTGGGACCATAGTCACCAAGAAAGGAATTGGTAACACACTACGCCGTGAAGGACTGAAATCCTGCAGCGCCCGCAAGGTCCCATTATGCTTTGGGGGTGTTTTTCTGCTAAGGGGACAGGACAACTTCACCACATCAAAGGGACGATGGACGGGGCCATGTACCGTCAAATCTTGGGTGAGAACCTCCTTCCCTCAGCCAGGGTATTGAAAATGGGTCGTGGATGGGTATTCCAGCATGACAATGACCCAAAACACACGGCCAAGGCAACAAAGGAGTGGCTCAAGAAGAAGCACATTAAGGTCCTTGAGTGGCCTAGCCAGTCTCCAGACCTTAATCCCATAGAAAATCTGTGGCGGGAGCTGAAGGTTCGAGTTGCCAAACGTCAGCCTCTAAACCAGGGGTGTCAAACGTACGGCCCGCGGGCCGGATCAGGCCCGCAAACGGGTTTAATCCGGCCCGCGAGATGATTTGAAAAAAGTATTAAAATGCGCTGCAATTTTTCAATAAAAGAAACTGCTGTTCCAATTGCGTCCACTGGATGGCGCAATAGCAATTGTGTTAAGCAAGCAAACTGTTTATACCGGGGCAGAGCAAGTAGGTCAAGCACCTGCAGCCAATGAGCTACTTTGTTTTGCCCGCGATATTTATTACGGCTTCTACTTTTAACATTATGTGCTTTGGCACCCTCATTGCCCCAATATGTCTCTGTCAAAAAAGAGAAAGGTGGACGCAGAGTGCAGAGTGTTCCAAGAAAAATGGTCATCCTATTTATTCACGGAATTGAATGGGAAAGCTGTATGTTTGGTGTGTTCAGAGCATGTTGCAGTGCTGAAAGAATATAACCTTCGTCGCCACTATGTGAGTCTTCATGCCGACAAATATGACAACTTTCAAGGACAGCGGAGATGAGAGAAGGTGAATGAACTGTTGGCGGGTCTGAAGAAACAGCAGTCTGTGTTTACTCACAGCCGAGACATCAGTGACGCTGCAGTGAAAGCTAGCTACCTCATTGCTAATGAAATCGCAGTGGCTTCAAAACCATTTAGTGAGGGTGAATTTGTAAAAACATGCATGATGAAGGCAGCGGAGATTGTGTGCCCTGAAAAGCGGCAGGCTTTTGCAAATATCAGCCTGACAAGAAACACAGTTGCAGACTTGCAGGATTTCCGATCTTTCAGTGGATTTGGACAGCCAGTTGAAGCAAAAAGTAAAGTCATTTATTGCGTTTTCGGTTGCAATTGATGAAAGCACGGACATTACAGATGTTGCACAACTGGCCATTTTCATCCGCGGAGTTGATGACACATTGACCGTCACCGAGGAGTTCGTGGAGTTGGTGCCGATGACAGATACAACGACAGCAGCTGATATTTTTACCGCACTCGTCAGCCTGGCTACAGATGGTGCGCCCTCAATGATCTGGAAAAAAGCAGGCGTTGTGACAAAGTTCAGAGAGAAAGTGCAATCTGCAAATGAAGGACGTGATTTTTTGACTTTTCACTGTATTTTGCACCAGGAGGCTTTGTGTTGCAAGTCATTAAAGATGGATAACGTCATGAAGGTGGTCATCCAAACTGTTAATTTCATCCGATCCAGAAGCCTGAATCACCGTCAGTTTGACAGCCTTCTCAGAGAGAAAGACCACATCTATGGCCTGCCATACCACACTGAGGTAAGATGGTTAAGCCGAGGTGCTGTGCTGAGGCGTTTCTTTGATTTACGAGAAGAAATTGAACAGTTCATGGAAGAAAAGGGCAAACCAGTGTTAGAATTTCATTCCGCAGAATGGATGCAGGACCTTGCATTTATGGTGGATGTTACAGAGCACCTGAATAACTTGAACAAACAGCTGCAAGGGCGCAACAAAGTTGTCACGCAGTATTATGACAGCATACGTTCTTTCAAGTTGAAGCTGTCATTGTGGGAGACGCAACTTTCCGGTGGTGATGCAGCTCACTTCCCCTGTCTGAAAAATGTGTGCGCGACCCAACATGTGGCAGACATGAAGCGGTTCAAAGATAAAATAACGGGACTGTTACGGGAGTTTGAGCAACGCTTTCAGATTTATGTTTATGTTTTTATGTTGATGTGCTATTGTTTTTAATTGATTTTATTTGTATATTTAACCTATTCTTGACTCTGTGGTTCTTGCACTTGTTTGGGGAACAGGATTTCATTATTTTTATCTACATTTCTGCCTGAGAAATGACACCCTGATATAGTTCTGTGATCTGTGAAACAGTTCTGTTAATCACTGAGGCATTGTGTGTTTGTGTGTTCTTTTTCTTTAGAATTTTCAAATAAACTTGACGTGTTTTATAATTAATAGTGATGTTGTGCTTGTACTATTTTGGACACACTGTCCTCAGGCTCCAGCTTTATGTTGTATGTTGATCGTATTAAAACAAAGAAAACAATCTGAAGTTGTTGTTTTTAAGTTATATATACACCATGATTTTTCCGGTCCGGCCCACTTGGGAATAGATTTTCCTCCATGTGGCCCCTGAGCTAAAATGAGTTTGACACCCCTGCTCTAAACCTTAATGACTTGGAGAAGATCTGCAAAGAGGAGTGGAACAAAATCCCTCCTGAGATGTGTGCAAACCTGGTGGCCAACTACAAGAAACGTCTGACCTCTGTGGTTGCCAACAAGGGTTTTGCCACCAAGTACTAAGTCATGTTTTGCAGAGTGGTCAAATACTTATTTCCCTCATTAAAATACAAACCAATTTATAACATCTTTGACATGCGTTTTTCTGGATTTTGTTCGTTGTTATTCTGTCTCTCACTGTTCAAATAAACCTACCATTAGAATTATAGACTGATCATGTCTTTGTCAGTGGGCAAACCTACAAAATCAGCAGGGGATCAAATAATTTTTCCCTCACTGTATATGATGCACAATCCACTCAAATAACTAAAGGAAGCAGAAATTGTAGATTTGTAATGTAGACTGTATTAATGAATCATGTTTTGTGGTGGGCTTAGAAACATGAGCACTTCCTCTCATTAAGGAAAGATTACTGCATCTACCATGATTTAAGAGTATATTTACTTTTCTGGCAAAACTACAAGATGAATAAGGCGAATTATTGAATAATGGAAAACATAACACGGGGAAAAAATACTCCTGGCACCTGACCGTGCAGCTCACATTTAGCTACATGAGCTTGATGTGGGTGTTCCACCCGGATACATACTGTATTTCTCTGGTTTCGAATTGGGTATATTAAAAGTGTGGGCCCTGCCAAAGAAAGACAGAGCAGAGGATGTCACTGCTTGTAGACTGCCTGTGTCTCTGCGGAGGCCTGGAGGAAGGGGAGCGTGGAGGAGTGGAGGGAAACAGAGTTGGGGGGCATGAATCTGCCAGATTGAGGCTAGGGGCAGGGATTGCAAAAATATCTGGTTTTATACCACCTGAGCCATTTAGATTATGTGGTTTCCCTTTTAAATATGACAGTCTCTCCTTAGTGGAATTGTAGTGAGTTTTAAGACAAGAATACACGCAGTGCCATCAGTCTATCCTGTTAAACCATATTCATTCACTGGGACATATTTATTGAAAAACAAACAATGCGATTTGGATACACTAACACATGCATGTACTACTACTACTAGCATCCTGAGGCAGTTTTCAGCTCCTTGGAGCTAGGTGAGGTGTGTGAGTTCACACACACTGGAGTAGCAGGAGTGATAATTAGGGTGTTTAAGAGGGGGCGGGAGAAGTGGCATGCTCACTCACATGAAAGGAAGTGCATGTCAGAAAACAGGGTCTAATATTTTAAAAGCTGTCAATGTAGTGAAGAAAAATGGCAGAGTGGTCAACACTAC